TTCTAGTTGATGGAAAAATATCTTATTTGGGCTTTCAAATGAAATGTTTGGATGTTGAATTAACTTCATCATACTTAAATAAAATAAATCAAAAGTTGTAAAAGCAATAAAATATCCTATAGGGTAAACATAATTCATAGTCATTAAACTACATGTAAAGAAGTGTCATACAATGTATTGTACAAAACACATTCTAAAACCACTAATTCAACATTCCAAATCAATATAGATTAAAAAAAATCAGAGATATAAATTAAAAAAGCAAAGCACTCACACAATTATTTACATGTGAGGTTTAACCCATTCTATAATGGCCAAATTAGTATAAAATTATACCCCTAATTCAATTTTTTTAAAGCAATGCACTCACCCATGTATTATATGTTGGCAAAATTGGCCAAATTCAATTCTGCGTTGCAAAAATATTTACAGCATCCAAATCAAATCAAAGGTTTTAATTTGTATGCCACATGTCAGGTTTTAATTTAGTTTGCAGTGTCCATCATACCTAAAGCACTTGCACTACACACTAAAAGTGACAATGAGTAAGAAACAAAGGAAGTGAGAGAAAACTGACAGGCCTGAATGCGAAGAATGAACAATGCAAGAGGGTGCAAAAGAAGAAATTAGCAAGCATAATTTAGTCTTGTGTGTATTATATTATTTCTAGAAAAATTAATCGCATCAACAAGAAGCAAATTGAGCATGAAAAATATATTGGAATTCTGAGTAGAAGGATAAGTTCAAACTGAACATCAAACAAGCCTTATGGAATCAACAATAATTAGCCATAGGAATTAGTTGTAGCACTTACCAATGATGTTGTGACTTCCTCGACAACAAGCAAGACGTGAGAGCAATAGAGAGAGGGGGAGCGAATGCGGCTCTGTAGAATAGATTATCTTAATTTAGGTCAAATGTTCATGGGGGTATTCTTGTCTTAAACTTATTATTAACAAGGATATTTTTGTCTATGAAAATTGCAATCCCAGGGCCGAAAATCGAGTACCGGGGGAGAGGTGAGTTTGCTCAGTCCCACCTACGTGGTATTGGCCAAGTCCACGTCATTCTTAATCTCATGTACCATATAGCACTAATTAGCATAGTTCCTGACCCAGTCCCAATCCCAACCCTTTTGTACAACGTGCCAAACAGCGCCTTAGTTTCCATGTTGGTTATAAAAAACTCAATGTGAAAACTTTAGTTTAAAAAAAATTCAAAGAAAAGAAACAAGATTCTTTACGTCATTCCGAGTGAAGCTAATGTAGATTGTTCATTCTACCTCAGTTAAAGATGTAACTATTGTAGAAATACTGCATTTATTATAAAAATGTCACAGCATCTTTTTGTATCATTTTTTTTTTGTATGACTGACATATATAAGCAATGTAAATAGTGGTTTTTGTATGGTAGAATACCATAAACTACACTCCTGTCAAATAAAACTCAATCATACCAATAAGGATTGAGTCTAGTGGAAGGGACTGGTCTCTTACAACGTGATAAACTAGATTCAAATTCTTGCTGAGAGAGATGCCTACATTTACCCTATGTTTGGATGGAGAGAAAATCGGAGAGGAAAGAAATAAAGGAGGAAAATGGGAGAAGAAATGAGTTTTTTTGTGTTTGGATAAGGGAAGAAAAGTGAGAGGAAAGAAAAATAGGGGAGAAAATAGGATGTGAGACCTACTTTATTTTCTCTCCACATGCGAAGAGAAAATGAGAAGAAAACTCATGTTCCCCATATGCCTTCCTCACATATAATCCAATAATATCACATTCCACCTTTAATGCAAGTTTTTCTTTTTAATTTTACTTATGACTACTCATAATTCAACAAAATTATCTCATTATATTGTGGCCAAAATCAAAAGCTGCACATGAACTCCATTCTTTCACATTCAATGAACAATGCAGGAAATTTGCGCAAATTAATACACACATATATATAATTTCTTCATCTCTTTCAACTTTTATATTAAATTTTTACTATTTATTAATAATCTTAAATAACACGTAATATATTTATATCATTTTATTATGTTTGATGTTAAAAAAATTATCCGCTTTTTTTTTAAATTTTCACCTTTAAAAAGAATATTTTTTACTAAATTGTTTGGTTTTTCCAATATAATCACATGGTAATAAATTTTTATCAAATGATTTGATTTTAAATTATTTAATGATATTAACACTAATATGATTTTTTTATTATGATATTTAATTTAATTTATAATGATTTTTTTTTTGACCAGAATAACATGATATATTTTGATATAAGAATAAGAGTATTTTAGTTATTCATATATAAGAATAAGAAGATAACATTTTCTCTCCAGTTTTCTCTTCTCTTGTTTTCTCTCCTTCTATTTTCTTTCCTCCCAACTTTTCTTTTTATCCAAACAGAGCATTAGTGTTTGATAGTGTATAAAATAGGATTGCCTCCAATAAGAGAATACATGTGCTTAACAAAAAAAAAAAGAGGGCTCAACCTATACAAATCTTTAGAATTTTGTTGCCCCACCTTTGGTACTCTTGAATATTTCGATAATTCTATCCAAAAAGAAAGTAACAAAACAACCTATGAAGAATTAAAGTAATTAAGAGCATTTTTTATCCATGCAAAATAGTTGGGCGGAAAATGAAAGTCCCTTCCGTTACAGCTTACAAGGCGTCTAAATGAATGCATTTCAGAAGGTCAAAATCACATCAAGATGCCGAATAGGAGAGTCTTCCTTCGCAGCCGAACTTCATTCAAGACTGCTTTCGGTACAATAAGTGTAATATCATGATTAAAAAAAGAAAAAAATTCCTAAACACCGATACCTCTTGAATTTTAAAATTTCAAATCAGTATTATTTTCAAAACTTTAATAACAATTAAATACATTTGAAAAGTAAATGACAACATATTTTTATAGTTATTTCTAATTTAAAGTTTTAAAATTTAAGAAGTATTTTTTGGAATTAAAAAAAAATAAAAGCATCCTCTACTTGTAGTGTTCCCGGAATTTACTCTCACCAATATTCACTCTTTCAATTTTCCGTGTGTTAATGATGAAATCCCACCTTGACCATTTTTACCCAAAAAATCATAGTCGCTGGCGGTGGCCGGCAGTTGATGCTAGCTAGATCTTTGGCAGCCGCAGCTAACAGCCAATGCTGAAACTCCAAGGGGCTATTGATACAAGTGATGAAGCAGGCATCCAGTGTTGGAGCGCTGGCGGCTAGGTTGCCGACGGATGGTTAGAGTTTTTTTTTTTTTTTTCCCCCTTGAAGTAAGAAGCAAATATTGTAAATTCGTATAATTTTTTGTTGTTGATGTTTTTGAACTTCAAATGGTATTTTGTGAAATTTTAATTTTCCTATATGCTATGCATATGATAGATTTTTTTTTTGGTAACAGACCATGGTTTTTCAATTTTTTTTTTTTCAGTTTGATGTAGCTTTCAAAGGAACCTTCGTGTTATATCTGCAAGACATACAGCCCATGGTTTGAAAAGCGGACCAGTAATGGAAAACACATTACTATTACAAGCCCAGACCAAACACAGAATAGCCGCATATCCTGCCCCTTGTTCCAGCAACTAAGTTTTCTTGTCATATTTTTTTTTATATATATTTTTATTTTCTTGTCATTTTAAAACTGCAAGCTCCTGTGAGAAATTATCTTTGATATATATTACTCTTCTGGTTCTTAATATAAGACCTATTTAAATAATTTGATTAGATTAAAAAGTTAGTTAATTATAAGAAATAGACATGTATTTTCTAAAACACCATAATTATCTTCTTAATATCCTCTCTCCCTCTTCTACTTGATTATGGTTGAAAGAGTATCTATATAGGTAATTTAGAAAAACTGATAAATATGAGAAATCTTTCTGATATTTAGAACCAAAATTAACTCAACAATTAGGTCTTATATTAAGGACCGGAGGAGTATAATAAAATAAAGTACAATTATGCACTTGTGATCATGCTTCTCAATTAGTTTCACACTTTGGGGGAAAAAGTCTATTGACGTACAAACTATAGTTATAAAATGAATCCCACTCGGAGAAGTACTCATATTTAATACTTGACATTGTATCAAATAGGATTGTCTCCAATAGAAAGATACATATGCATATAAAAAAATAGTTATAAAATGAGTAAGTACCTTAATTTTTACAAAAGCCCAAAATCAGCTGTATCATCACGGCAATACAGCTTCTTGATAACTGTAATATATACTTCTTAAACTGCTACTCCTCCATTTCTTAATATAAGATACATTTAACTAATTTGATTATATTAAGGAAGTTAGGTAAGTTAGTTAATTATAAGAAATATGACACGTTTTTCCTAAAATACCATAATCATCTTTTTTAAAATCCCCTCTTCCTCTTCTGCTTAATTATGGTTAAAGGAGTATTTATAGGGGTAATGTAGAGAAAACTGATAAATATAAGAAATGGGTCTTATATTTAGGACCAAAACCAACTTAATAATTGGGTCCTATATTAAGGACCGGAGGAGTATTATGCAGTTATAATCATGGAATATACTTCTAAATCTCAATCTAAGCAAATTATATTTCATCATTTTACTTTCACTTTTTCTATTTTGTATTATATGGCAATTTACATGTCGCTTAATCAATATTCACATATATCAAATCTAATTAATTAACAGACTATGTGAGCATAGAGACAGCCACATATAATAAAGAAAGCAATAGGTAACCAGGGGGGGGGGAAAAAACTATATCAAATAAAATTATAAGAACTCGCAAGTTAATTTTCCCAATAAATAAATAAAGTAGCATCGCAAAGTCCAGAGAGAAGCTTCCTTGATGAAACGTAGCCCCACACGCATAGCGTAAACTTTTGACTTCAAATTTTCTGCAACTCTTTCTGGAAGCAAACTTTTGCCTTTCTACTGTTTTTTTTTTTTTTTTAATGCAGAAACTCAAATCTTAACTTTGATTATATATCTCTCAAAGTTTCTTCCCGAGCTTCCATGGCATATTCATCATCATCATCATCCTTCAACATAACTCCTCCTCCTCCATTATTCCCAAAAATCTCAGTCGAAAACTACGACGTATTCCTCAGCTTCAGAGGCGAGGACACACGCTATAGCTTCACGAGCCATCTTCACGCAGCACTGAGCAGGCTGAAAGTGAGGACCTACATCGACTACGAGCTCGAGCGTGGCGACGAGATATCGCCGGCGCTGATAAAAGCCATCGAAGAAGCCAAGGTTTCCGTTGTAGTTCTGTCTCAGAACTATGCTTCTTCAAGGTGGTGTTTAGATGAACTAGTTAAGATAATGGAGTGTAAGAGAACCAAAGGACAGATCGTGGTTCCCATCTTCTACCACATAGAACCGACACACGTTAGACATCAGACCGGAAGCTATGCCAATGCTTTCGCTTGCCATGATCGTCGTTTCATGGCCACTGACCCCAACAAGGTCCTGAGATGGAGGCTCGCTCTTTCTGAAGTAGCCAACCTTTCTGGCTGGGATTGCTTGGTCACTAGGTTTGTGCGTATATCTATATTTCTATTTTTTTTTTAAGTTAGAGTATTTTAGTCACTTTGAAGTTGAAGTTAAAACTAATCTCTATGGGGTTGAAAGCATCAAGATTAAAATTCTTCTAACAAGTATGCTTCTTAAATTCAAACGGGTGTCCTTCTCCTTACGAGAGGTCAGAACGTTTAGTATCTCAATTAACAGCTTGTTTAGCTCCCTCTCCCATATAGTGCCCCCACTTCCCTCATGTTTTTCTTGTTTTTTTTTTTAATCACTAAATTTTATCTAAAATAATAACATTTTATGTAACAAAAAAAACAGTACAATTATGATTTTTTTACGATTTTTTTTTAAAAAAACTCTTAAATTGTGTAATTTAGATACAATTTTTTTAAAATTCATAAAAAGTTTAAAACTACATCATTTGATTCTCATAAGATAAACACCCCAAATCCCTATGTATCTACTACCTCTTGTCCTAATTATAAGATCTTATTTGATCCTAATTATAATATTTTGTTTATAGTCTACATAAATGAGAATTAAGACCAGAGGTTGTATTTGTTTATGTATTTATGAGATATCCTTAATCTTGAACTTTGTAGGATGGAGTCGGAGCTAGTTGAGAGGATCGCCATTGATGTGTTGCAGAAGCTTGACTCAATTAACAATGGCGGGATTGAGAGCAGGATAGCAACCTACAAGCAGATGGCACAGGCGAAGCTGGAGAAGTGTCTGAGGACTGGCAATTTGAACGACATGGAAGATCTAACAGAGACCCTGCAACAACTGGCCAATCTGAAACTGGACAAGGCCCTTAGAACCGACGATGATAAGGATTGGGAAGAACTGGACGTGACGAACCAGAGGATTTTGCAGCTGAAACAGCAGAAGTTGATTCGCTCTGGTAATCCCAAGGCCTTGGAGGATTACACTGCCACTCAACACCAAATTGCTCAGATTAATGCAGAGAGAGAGAATCGTAGGCGTGGGATCTACCGAGGGATTTAACCCCAGAAAAATTTCATTATTATTATTGTTCTTATTCTTCATTTTGGTGAAAGGTTTGGTAGTAATAAATTTGAATGTGTAATGATCAGTTTCATGATCCTGTTTCTTTAATTAGAAGCAGAAATTTAATATCTTTGGTTTAATAAGATGCATATCTCTTCACTTTGTGTAAGTTTGTGTACATAGTTGACTACACGAGGGCAAAAGGGCATTTTTGCGAGGTTTGAAAAATGGAGCCCCCCCCCAATCCGTTGCTTGGGTGAAGGGGTTCAACACGCTCACTGAGGGAGCGGATTTGACTCTGGAGCATGTTGTAACATTGGAAGAGGCATCCCAAAGCTAAGTGAAGCAGGAATCCAAGGAGGCGAGGGTAGAACCAGCCTGTGAATTAAGGTTATGTTTGTTAAGAAGCATTGAAAATTAGGGATATGAATTAGGATTTGGGATTAAAAAATCTATTAAAAGAGTGCTTACATAAAAGATTGCTTGTTATATAAGATTAGCCAAAACCATATATTCATATTAAATATTATTTTAATGATTTTTTCTAATTACAATCTCAATCCCTATCCTTATTTTCAATGCCTCCTACCAAGCGGGACATAAAAGTTAGGCGCCCCAATGCCTTTAGATTGTGGGTGAACCCGATTCCTTCCTAAAATTTCTCTCACAAAAAAAAAAGAATTTTTATATCGGTTTTGTAATTAATACAATGGGCATAGAAAGTCTTTCCAAACCCACTTTAGCCAAAAAATTTAGATTATTTGTACTTAATCAGTGTGAAAAAAGTAAAGGAAAAAATTATTTACTTTCTACGTACATAGATTATCATGTGCAACTGACATTAAAATTATGACTTAGCAATGAGGGTTAAGTCTAATAAAAAGAACTAGTCTCTCATAACATAACAAACTAAGATTTAAATTCATGCTGGGAGATGTACTCATATTCAGTGTTCGATAGTGTCTCAAATAAAATTACTTTCTATAAAAAGATACCTATGCATAGCAGAAAAAATATGACTTTTATGCACCGGTTAAACAGTTGGAATAAGAAAAAAAGTCCATTTTCTATGCTTGTTAATTGATGTATAAAGTTTATGTTTTCTTTTTTAATATTTACTGCACAAGAGATGCAGCCAGCTAGCCAGCAGTTAAACCTCGATTCCACAAGTGTACAATTCAATTAACATTAACTCAATTACTACAAGGAAGAAAATAACAAATATGTATGTATATATACTCTAACTAGAAATTATAAATTATGAAGTAAAATATGCATTTTGATTGAAGACTATTAAGTGTTAATAGATATGTTCCCCTTTTTTACCATATATGTCACTTTTATTTAAATGTGCTCCTTTTTATTATTATGGTTTGCTTTTTTATTTGAAGTGTATGTATTTGAAATATATTAATTTCTTTATGGCTGATAACTGATTCAACCATGAATCCATGACCCGACCATTGAATTATAAAATCAGTGTTTCCGCAAATTGGATGATATTGATTAATAACATAATATTATTATAATTTCCTTTAATAATTTTTTTCAGTATTATATATACACCGACCATGATTTTTAAAAAAAAACACATATAATACCAGTCAAAATTTGTGATCTTTAATTTATCAATTCATACTAACTTAACGGGGCATTTTTCACCCTAAGATTTCACGCAACTCAAATTGAAATTTGAACAAAAATTATTGCCGACAAAATTTAAAACTGTGAATGCCAGTTTGAATGTATGAACATATTGGAATATGGGTCTTTCAATTATTGCATATTAATTGTGACCAGAAGTGAAGGGAAAAATATAAATCAAAGTGTAACAGAAAATATTAATAGTCCTATTTATAAGTCACTTTCAACATGTTTCACACAAACTAAGAAAAATTTTAAACTTCATTAGCTCATTTAAAATTGAACAACTTCCCAATGTTATCCTAATTTAATATACATTATACCTCATGTAAACAAAGTCAACACAATAATAAATGAAAGGTAAAATTATACATTCATACAAAAAAGTTATTTTAATGTCCTATAAATAAGAACAAAAAATATCTTCTCTTTCTGTCTTATGAATAGGATTAGACGAGTATGTTTGAATATGACGCTGCCTTCTGATCCTTTCTTATGCATCAATTATTTTCAGTCAATTTTTGTACATATTTCGACAAGTATGGGGCGGGTAGGAACAATAATTAATCAACATACACAAAGATATGAATTTTTTTTAATTTTTTGTCAATTTTTTATAATAAAAAAATGGGAATTGGGAAAAATTAAAATCCGACTCTCACGCCGCGTCTAAATCAAAAAGTCAACATGAATCAGAAAGTCAACATACTCATGCTGCCATTGCCATGACCAGTATGGGAGTTTCTTGTATGCTGTGGAACCTATAATATTCATGACAGCTTTTTGGTGAGCTCCTAGAATTAAAACAATGATTTTATATTTCTGATCGGATCTTTTTACTTATTTTTGGTTTCCATATATATATATATATATTGATCAATAAATATAATTAAATACAAAGTTATATATTATCTACTTTTATTCAAATAATATATTATTTATGATACTAAATTTATTTTTACACCAAAAAATATGATAATTTTCCTAAACTATAAAAATGAAAAAACCTCTCCGCCAAAAAATCCTCTTTTTGTTGATAATATTTTAATTATAGATTTTATTATTATTATTAATTATTTTATTATTATTATTATTATTATTATTATTATTATTATTACTTCACGACTAATCAAGTCAAAGGTTAAACAGCATATCATCGTTGCTATTTACACCAGAAAGAGAAGGGGGGCCGGCATTAGCTTGGATTTTTCATTTTTTATTTTTTGGTTTCCATACACACAGTTTTCTTCTTAACAGAAGTAACCTTGGTTGAGGCATTATCAGATCCTAAGTGTGAATAACTCTCTCAACAAAAATTTGAACATTAATCTGTCACATTGTGAGAAACTAACCTATTTCATTAAACTCAATCTCTATCTGTGGATGTGAATTGGGTTGGCTAATTTGGGTGTTTGCATGGCCCATAAGCCTATCTATTTTATAGCAATATTATCAATGCTAAATATATAAACTAATTTTCAGAGGGTTATTTTAGTTTTAAATATAGCATCACAATTCATTTTGTTCTTTAAATTCATTTTTTTTTCAAGTTATTCTTATCAATTGCAAAGAAGGATTTCCATATGAGATCGTTTCCATTATAAATAATTAAAAAGTATCCTAAAAAATCAATGCATTTTTTTTTCTAAATAATTAATTTAGTTATTTGACTTAATCTAAGAAAATTAGCTATCTAGCTCCCACCAAAAGATAAATGAAAGAATACACGTAGTACGGATGCAGAGATATGTCCAATCGTATGATGCGGAACATCGTCTCCCTACTTCTCAGGTCAACCAAATCATCATTCTTCTCCATCAAAGCACAAGAATCCACACCCTATTACTATCCACGAAATTTCCTCTCTCTTTCTCTCTCTTCACATCTTTTTATATCTACATGTTTTGAATTTCGTAGCTCATTAACCCAACTAAATGGAGTACTGGTCATTCTCTAAGCCTTCTTTTTCCTCTTCCTCTGCCTCTCCTCCTGATCCTGCCGCTCCTCCTTCTTCTCCTTCTCATGTGTTCCTCAGCTTCAGAGGCGACGACATAGGCAACAGTTTTGCTGGCCATCTTCAAGCTGCTTTAACCAGGAAGAACATTAAAATCTGTGCCCAGAAAGCCATTGAGGAAGCCAAGCTTTCTGTGGTCATTTTCTCTCAGAACTACGCTTCTTCCCAAGAGTGTTTGGACCAACTTGGGAAGATCTTGGAGTGCAGGTTAAAACATGGCCAAATTATAGTGCCTGTTTTCTACCATGTAGATCCGTCTCATGTGCAAAACCAGACTGGGTGTTTTGCTGATGCTTTTGTCCACCGCGAGAAGGAGCTTAAGGAATCGTCGCTGAGCAAGGTCCAACATTGGAGGTTTGCTTTGGCTGCTATAGCCAAGATCTCTGGCTGGGAATGTTCATCTAACAGGTATTTATACTTAAGTCGTAGTTACACGTAAGCAATTCAATTACTAAAAAATAGTACCTCCACTCCTTAACATGAAACCTCGTTTAACTTTTATTTTGATTCTAAATATAAAATCCCGATCCACTTTATTTCTCATGTTTATGAATTTTTTTCAGGATAAACCTTTTAATATTAGCAGTTCTAGTCAATACACTTTATTAACAAGGATATTTTAGAAAAGACAATACATATTTATTATAAATAACTAACTTAACTTATTTTTTAATCTCTTCAAATTAGTTGAACTAACTCTTATAATTAGGATTAGAGGTAGTATCATAATAAGTGATCAGCATGTGATGGCAAAGTATCCATATAGGAAATGGTAATAAATGTATGCTGATTTGGTGGACTTTTTAATTATTAGGTCACTTATGTGGGACTGCACAGTAATTTTCTTTTATTCAACAATTTTTTATATAATTGCTTAGTATTGGACAAAATAAAGTAAAATTTAAATATTGTCAAACCAAATTGAGCCGTACATAACTTTGTCTAATCACCATTTGAATTTTAGAAATTGAATGCTTTTTACATCTCTCATTATTGGTTATTCACCACAAATTTTAATTATTATTCTCTTATATATTCCAATTTGGAGGACAGCATTTTGAAGAATTAGTTGTTCATATTTATAAGACAAATTATAAAATTTGAGAAGTAATTAATAATTTGTTAGTAAATAAGGCTCTACTAAATGTAAGAAAAGGCATGCTCATGTTCCAGCATAAAAACAGTTTAAGTTAACAAAATACTATCTCCGATTCTAATTATAAGACCTCGTTTATAGTTTACAAATGAGATTTTATTAAAAAAAAAAGCCAGACTAAGCTTTTTTTTTATATATATTAGTTAAGCTGGAACAACTCAAGCTCGGTGGTACAAAATACTAAGCTTTAAATGAAGGCAAAAATGGGAGAGGAAAAAAAGAAAAATAAATTCAACATATGAATTATTTAAACTAGTTTCACATATTGGTGTGAGAATTAAGTACTTTTGTTATATGAATTATAATTTATAATTGATTGATGAGGTTTAAATTGATGGAAATTAGGTCAGAAGCAGAATTGGTAGAGAAAATAGCTGAAGATGTGTCACAGAAGCTAAAAGCGATGCATATAGGCGGGTTGGAGGAGAAGATCGAAATGCTGAAGCAAACGGCACAAGCGAAACTAGAGAGGTCTTTAAGAACAGGGACGCCAAACGACATGCAGGATCTGGGCAAAACGCTAGAAGAGCTCGCTGATCTAAAACTACAGAAGGCTCTGCGTACAGATGACCAAAAAGACTGGGAGGAACTCAATACGACAAATCAACGCCTTCTGGGATTGAAACAGCAAATCTTCGTTCGTGGATGTCATCCAAAAGCCAGCGAGGATTTCATAGCCACGCAAGATCGAATTTCGCAGATCATAAATGAGCAAGAAAACCGTAGGCGCGGCTTGTATCGTGGAGTATAAAATTAAAATATATATATATATATATATGTAACTTGTCATTTAAATTATATATATATATACACTATTAACTATTCATCGTCTTTCTGAGAATTTGTAATGCGATATGTTTCCTTTCCAAACTTTGTCTTGCGTGTTGCTTGTCTTGGACAAGTTGGAATTTCCCTCAAAATCACATCAAGATATAGACACTGTATATACGGGTCTTCCTTTGCGGCCGAACTTGATTCATTCAAGACTGTTTTTGGAGTTAGTTCAATAAGTGTAATATCATGATCAAAAAACAGGCATTCTTTTTTTATTCTTATTACACAAAACAGGCATTCTCCACTAGTAGTGTTCTATGAAATTTCCTATCGTCAATTTTTACTCCCTTAATTTTTCATGTTTCTATTATATACGTACTCCTCGGCCTTGCTACTAGTTGGAGTATTACATTTTAATTTTAAATATAATACTACCTTCAACTCTTAATATAAGACCTTGTTTGACTTTTATTTTGGTCCTAAATATAAGACCACAATCCACTTTGTCTCTGATATTTATATATTTTTTTCAAAGTAGTCCTTCTAGCAATGATAGTTCTAGTCAATATACTTGATTAGCAAGAATATTTTAAAAAAACAACACTAATTTATTACAAATAACTAACTTAACTTATCTCCTTAATCTCCTCAAACTAGTTAACTATCTTTTATAATTAGAACTGGAGGTAGTACATCAATTTACTTTGTCTCTCATATTTATTATCCAAGTCCTCAACATAAAAGTTAGTTTAACACTTAATTTATTTTTAAATATAAGACCCTAATTCACTTTATCTCTCATATTTATTTTTAAAAAATAATCCTTATAACAGTTGTATAAATTAAAGGTTCTATCAAATAGTAGTTATAACTCTTATATTAAATATCGGAGGTAATATTATTTTTCTTCAATCTAATTTATCTAATTTACAAATTGATATATAATTCAATGTTCACAGAATTATATTATAGAGATCAAGACACATTGGGTTACAAGCAGCATCAAACCCACAATCTCCCACTTGCAAATAAGTATTCATGCCACTAGGTTAGTACCTTTAGCAATTTTATCTGATTTCTAATATAGTTTTTTTTTCCTTTCAATTAGATCCTTAAAATTTTCTCAATTATAGACATTAATTCTTACTCCCTCCATCTCTTATTATAAAACCTACTTAACTATTTAACTATATTATGTGATTTAAGAAAAGGGAAAATGACAGATAAAAAAGCTTCAAAATGTGAAATGCCAATTTGGGAAGCTAAGGAAATGTAATTACACATAGGGAAGTCCTTCCCAAATTGGAATTTTGAAATTCAGTGAAATGACAAAAATGCCCTTTGTTTTTAAAAAAAAAAAAACCAGCCCCTCACAGTGGTCGACGACCGGCAACCACCGCCAGCGACTGGCCGCCGACCACCTCTGGCCACCGGCGCTAGGCACCAGTGTGGTGGCTGCCGGTGAAGGAGTTTTGTGACAAGATTTTTTTTTTTTGGAATAGGATAATATTGGTTCAAAATGGCAGGGGTGGGATTTGATCCCACAACCCGTTGGCCACTTAGACCAACAAAAAGATAGCCATTGGGCCATCAAAGATTTCTTAACCTTATAATGCAAACAAAAATATAAGTTAACTCTTTTACTGTGACTCCAGCTCGTGACAACAATTTATCTGAGGATGACAAGTCTTAATTGAGAAATAACAAGTCTAAATTTGATATTAACAAAGCAACTTTTCCTTATACATAACAAATAGCAGCATGTGCATTAATTAAAAATGATCATAATTTATTTAAAAATGACACGTCTTTGCTAGAAAATAACAACAATTTATTCGGTATTTCTTGTTATGTATAAGGAAAAGTTGCCTTGTTAATATCAAGTTTAGACTTATCATTTTCTAGTAAAGACGTGTTATTTTCAAATAAATTATGGTCATTTTTAATTAACGTAGATGCTATTTCTTGTTATGTATAAGGAAAAGTTACCTTGTTAATATCAATTTTAGACTTGTTATTTTATAGTAAAGACGTGTCATTTTTAAATAAATTATGATCATTTTTAATTAATGCACATGCTGCTATTTGTTATGTGTAAGGAAAAGTTACTTTGTTAATATCAAATTTAGACTTATTATTTCTCAATTAAGACTTGTCATCCTCAGATAAATTGTTGTCACGAGCTGGAGTCACAGTAAAAGAGTTAACTTATATTTTTGTTTGTATTATAAGGTTAAGAAATCTTTGATAGCCCAGTGGCCATTTTTCTTTTTGTTGGTCCAAGTGGCCAAGGGGTTGTGGGATCAAATCCCACCCCTCACTTTGAACCAATATTATCCCATTTCAAAAAAAAAAAATCTTGTCACAAAAATCCTTCACAGGCAGCCACCACACTGATGGCCGGCACCGGTGGCCAGAGGCGGTCGGCAGCCGCCGGAGGCCAATCGCCGGCGATGGTCACCGATCGCCGGCCACCGATGAGGGGCTAGGTTTTTTTTATAAAAAAAAAAAACAAGAACAAAGGGCATTTTTGTCATTTCACTGAATTTTAAAATTCCAATTTGCGGAGGACTTCCCTATGTGTAATTACATTTCCTTAGCTTCCTAAATTGGCATTTCACATTTTCAAACTTCTTTATCTATTATTTTCCCTTAAGAAAATTGTTAAAATTAGTTAAAATAATAAATACGTTGAAATGGAAAAAGATAATGAGAGGGTATATTAATTAAAGGTAAAGTGGATTAAAAAAATGCATTTGATTTTTAGACAAACCCCCAAAAAAAAATTTATACAAAAAAAAATAAACCAATTAAAAAAATTAGATCTTACTGCCTCCGATCCTTAATATAAGACCTCGTTGACTTTTATTTTGATCCTAAATATAAGACTCCAATTTATTTTATCTTCATATTTTTACATTTTCTTCCAAAATAATCCTTCTAACAATGGTAGTTGTAATTAATACACTTGATTAGTAAGAATATTTTAAAAAAGACAATACATATTTATTACAAATAACTAATTTAACTTCTTTTTTTAATCTCCTCAAATTAATTAACTAGCTCTCTTAATTAGATCCGAAGATAGTATAATAACAAATTGAGGAAGTATATGTTAAGAAGAACATATTAGAATGGGTTTTAAGTGTGATTTCTATATCTAGAGAGAAATAGATTTAACAATGGGCCTTTCTAATTTAAAAAACAAAAAACCCACCACTACGTAGGCCTCTCTGCTCATATGGACTGCATAATAAAAGAATATCGGAAGAACCGAGACATATTCCCAATGGGAAACAACCAACAAGCCCCAACTAAGGCTTGATCGAAAATGCTACCGACAAAGTTCATATTTCGTAAATTTAAAAAAAAAAAAAAGGATTCGACTCTCTAATTTAAAAAGGTTTTATATACAACTCAGATAGATATAAATATTTAAAAAAAAAAAAACAGAAATTTTCCAAACCACTGAAGCTCCAGCACCAATGAGGCATTTTAGAACTAGACCCTATAGATGAGCCTTAACAAAAATCCAGCATCCAAATATTTACGTATATAATGTGATGTATTGAAATTATGACCTCTGTTACCAAGGTATCTCCATTGAAGCGGCTTTGCAACACATAGTCCAAAATGCTTCCACAAAGACTCTGAATCGGCTTGGATTAGTATGTACATAGCTGTTTGGATTTGAATAGATTTTAAATTGCAATAACTTGGGCGTCTCACAGCAAACCTTGTTGCTCGAATTCTCGTGCCACTGAAACACCATATCAACAAGAACAAAATGTTAAGGCAACAGAGATACCTTGAACATATAAACCCCACCAGAATGAAAAATAGGCAACATACGGAATCAACTTGATACGTGCTATTTGCATGCCACCAAACAGAGAGGATTACCAGAATACCAGTTTACCAACAGTAAGTTTCGTCTCCATTTTAAATTTAACATTCCGCCTCTAGTGAAGTCTTTATTTTAAGGGTTTGGATCTATTGGTTTTGTGAAATGTGTGATGAGAAGAAAGAAAGAAATTAGGGCTTCAAGGGTCTGCTTAGTGGATTTCACTCTAACTGAGATTTTAAAGATATTGCTAAATCTACTCTTCAATCTTCACTTAAATATTCAACTTTTTGAATTGAATTTCATATTAAGCATGAAGATAACAATTGAGTTTTACTCCGTTTTACTAGCACTCTGAAGTTCAATATTAAATGCATCAAGTCGATGTGTTGGATAGCACATTCAAATTGAAAATCATCCTAAACAAAGTCTAAATAAAATACTGAAAAAAGAGAAATCCTATACCAAATAGTGTAGAGTTCAATCCTTGTCAATAATCTCTTTTAAATCGTTAAACAATTAACTGATTAAATTATCAGCATAATCCAATTCTTTAACTTGATTTTATAGAGATGATTTGGCTTAATGTCCATGAGATAAATTTGAGGTCACTAACTTGGTAGCAGATCACCTACCACAATCACAAATTAGCAAACCATCTGGAATTGAAAGTCTAACTCTAAGCAAGTTATAGTGAGCATTATAAGCATAACAAAGGGAACTCCAACCACTATTGGTTGTCAGGATATGGATTCAGCAATTACAAGAAAGGAAACTAACCTGTTGAAGCAGGAAGAACCAGAACGACCTGCATTGTGACATTGTTCGGAGGAAGATCCAAGCGAAGAGGATAAAGCTTTCCATTCAAAGGACTACGACAACAGACGATAATTCCCTCAAGCCCCGTCTCTTCCTCAAATTTACGAGTTAATTCTTCCACTCCACTCCCTTTGAAAACCAGAGAATATCCTTGCATTCCTTCATCTTCCACTGAACCGTTGTCTTCAGCCACATGATAGTATATGATTCGTCCCTCCGCTTTACTCGGCGAACTCACATTTGAATCACTCGACTGTGAAACAATTTCGAAACCAATAATCACAAAACGGAACTACAAATTTGCAATCATTCTGTCTAGGTAACTCAAAATCAAAGCTTAGATTTAACAGAAAAAATTCAACGGATCGTAATCGCATACCTGTTGCCTGGAAAATTGGAGAGATTTGGTGTAGGGTTCGAAGTCGAAAGAATCGGAATGAGGCAGAGGTGGAGCCGAGGGATTCTGACGAGGAGAAGATTGAACATGGATCTCTACGACATCCACATCCCAGAGGACCCAATCCTGTGTGACGGTTCTATGGGGAATATCGTGGGTCACGGAGTTTCGCCAAGGTGGCAGGCCTCCATTGGCTCTAAGGAAGTTCCCGTACCGGGTCTTGAGCTTGACCCGAGACCCGTCTTTTATAGGTTCCCACTCGACGGACGAATCGAGCCTCCCGGGCTGAGTCTGAAGCACCTTCCGACCGGTTACGCCGAGCAAGAAGGGCTGGTTGGAGGCGGTGAGGTATTTGCCATAACAGCTCCTGAGTCGGATCACGAAGTCGTATCCGGGTACTGTCTCCACAACCCATCGGGCGTTCTTGGATGACCCGTTTCGGTCTTGCGTCACGGACTCCTCGTCTTCCTCCGCCAGCAGGTACTTGTCGTGGTGGCTCCGGAGCCGCACAGCCTTCGCGTTCAGGAAGAAATCCATGCCGCTCATGAACTTGTCGGAATTTTTCTGTAAAACGAACATTGAACTCAAAACGGCCTAATTTGAAAGCTCGGAACTCAATAATTTGAATTGATATATAAGAAGAAAAGCGAGCACTTGGTGGTTACAGAGCTTCTGGTGTGATGTGAGGAAGGTGAAAAAATGGATGGTGACACAGGAATCAGTTCCTCAGTGGGTGAAGAAACAGTTTTTTCAGGTTTGATTCTGTTAGTTAAGGGAGGAAAGGCCAACAGAATCTAAAAATACCTGTATCTACAACAGTAATGATGAATCTAATTTAATATAAATGTATACTTTGAAAAAAGCGTGAGAATCTGGATGGAATGAGTATAAGGCTAATAGTGAAGAACGGAGGAGGACTAGAAGGAAGGAAAAGAAGAGAACTATGGACGTAGAACGAAGCAAGCTAGTACCAGGTCTAATGCTTCATTGCGAAGAAAAACTACTACTAATATGGAAGATTATTCGTATTAAGACATGGCATGGAAAATCAACCAGCAAGAAAGACAAAGTTTAATGGCGGGTCCAACGTTTCTACAAAAGAAACGTTGTGTTCAGATTATTTACAGAGCAAACTGAAAATTTTATACTCAATCGGTTCATCCTATCTTGTTGAAATTTTTATCTAATACAAACATAGTAAGACATTTCCACAATAAACAAATTTTACAGACCCAATTTGTGTTACTATCCCCTGCGCAAGTAAAGAGATTAAATTTAATCTTAAATATAAGATTTTTAATTATTTTATCCCCTTTATTTCTCCAAATTATTTGAAAGGATATTTTTAAAAAATCAATGCATATTTTTTTTATAAATAGCCAATTTAACTACTTTCTTTTATCTATCTAAAATAATTAAGTAGATATAATTAAACCAATTTATAAAAATTAAAAACACTAAATTAATTAATTATTTGTAAAAAAATGTTTGTTGATTTTCCTAAGATATTCTCTTTAATAATTATTTGCATTTGAATTACGTTTTGTTATAAACTTTGTTACCATATGCACCCAATATAGATAGTTTGGGGAAGAAGCTATAAACTTGATAAACAAAATAAATTAAGATATTATAGTTTACATCAAAATAAACTCCTAACTAACATTTATGGCCTTGTTTGCCATTACAATTAAAATCACTTATAAATATGTTTCACGTAAGTTGAGATAAAACTTTTCTCATATATTTACCTCGTATTCTGTAGACCACCATTAAAAAACTATTTATAAACTATTTTAAATGGGCCATATATCAATCACGTGGTACTTAAAAAGGCAGTTGAGAAATGAAAGACACGTTGTTGTCCAACTTGTGAAGGGAAGCATCGTTCACTGATGACACATCAATAATTGCCGCGTAAAGTCACCAAAGTGATTACTGCAACGTAGACGAAACTCCTTTCTTTTGACTTTTATCACCACACTCACTCCTCACACAACCCCTTTTTTTTTCAAACTAAAACACTCCACACAATTTTAATTTAAAATTTTTTTTGAACCTAATCATCATATGCGTGTGTACATAGTAAGGTCCAAATTTGAAATCTAATACTCTTTAATATACAAATTAGTTAAAGATTCAAATTGGTCATAAATACAAAATTTCAATCTATTTTATCTCTAATATATTTATTTTCTTTAAATAATCTTTATTCAAATACACATTATTAATAAGGATATTTTAGAAAAAATCACATTCATTTATTACAAATAACTAACATTTATGTATTACAAATAACTAACTTAATTAATTTTTTAATATTTATAAACTAATTATTTAGCTCTTGTATTATTGGGTCATTTATTTTAGGAAAGATAATATTCATATACTACAAGGCAGGTATCTGTTGACGTTTCAGTGATCTCAAATGTAAGTAATTTTATGGGGTCATTAAATATTAAAAAAATTTCTGTTAGTAATCGCAATATGAGAGAAAAATATAAGATTTATAAGGAAACAAAAGCTGACTACTCTTAAGTAATAAATTTGAAAAAAAAATATAATATTTTGTGACAAATTTAATTAGCTTAATTAATTTTAACTAATTTTATTAGTTTGTGTAAGATAAGCATTCGAAGTGCATTATATTTGAAAACAAAGGAGTAATTTCTACTATTAACAGTAATTGCAAATGAAGGAGATACATACACACACACACATATCAACGCATTGATATAAAATGTAAAATAAGAAAATAATTAAGTTTTGTTTTCTTATCTAGAATTATGAATTTCATAGTTGTTAATAGGTCGTGCGTTTAATAATCTGTGAGAGTGTTAGTGCTGAAAATTTGGTGAGAAGAGTGGAGCAATATAAAAGTCATCCGCCATATGAATTACCCATTCCACTAATCTTAATCACAGAATCACCCACAAGAAAATAATTTATAAAATAAAACTTTGATAATCTTTTTTTTTTTTAATTTGGAAAACTTCGATTGTCTAAAATAGAGATATATTTATAATCTCAGATTAAAAGTTCACCAATCTTAGGAACATATCTATAAATTCAATACATTTATAAAACTTGCAAGAAGTTACACTGTTCATAAAAGAGTAGATCATAGTGTAGCTCTTTAGGTTCTTTGATATTTTATTTTTTTAATTTAATGCATTGACAATTTTTATGGACAAATTGAGAAGTCCTTCTCCTCCATAGTAATTTAATGGGTAGAGTAGCATCCATTATTTTTCAGACATATCTAGTACCCTTATTTATAGTCTATCTAGCACTTTAATTTTATTTGTTCTAGTGCTTCTAGTACCCTAATTCTATTTATAGTGCATTCATCACTCTAAACCATAAATAAAATTATGGTGTTTAATTCTAGAAAATAATATCAATGAATATTGTATGCACTAAAAAAATAACATCATGATGCTAAATATTATTTTAGCCTAATCTAATTAGACTACTATTATAAATTTCAGGATTGAGCTATTTTCTAAAACAAACAATTTTTAAAATTGAGAAATACCAGTATAAACAAAATGAAAAAGTTTTGTTTTTTAGTACTCACATGTCACATGTAAGCTCAAGGATGATTCTCCCAATGAAAAAACCTCAAATTTAATAGTTGCGTAAAATTATTACTACTTCCAATTCTAATTATAAAGTTTTATTTGTAGTATATAAAATAAAATTAAATTAAATTATATACATATCTAATCTTACAAAATTCAACTTTTTGTAGAATTCAGGTGGAATTAGTTATCAACAACTAAAATAAAACTAGTAATAAAAATTAACAAAACCTAGTGATTAAGTGATGATATAAAACAAAAATGATTTCAACAAGTATTAACAATGTAGCGATTCCTAATTCTTTTTTTTCCCCCACAAATGAAAATGTGATTCCTAAATTACTAAATTTATTTACTGTACGCTCCGAAAACAACAAACTTCGGTCCTGTCATGGCTTGGCCTTAATGTTATATGTTGACTTAGAGATTGACCAGTAGATTCAAAGTTCAATGTTTTTTTTAAGCAAGACAAAAAAGGATTCCAAGCTAACGTTCAACTACCGATAGGCCAAACCAGAAAAACAACAAAAATCAATCAATATGAATCAGACCATTTCAATAAATACTGAATCTGAAAAAAAAAATGGGGGAAAAAAAGGCAGGAAAGGAACTTGGAACTCTGGAAGAACAAAATTAACAAGTGATATTTATTATGAAAAAATGTATAAATAATTAGTATTGGTATACACGCACCTGCAACTGGGAATTCTTCATCGGCGACTTAACGGAGATGACGGCCATCGGAGATGGCGGCTCCCAGACGCAGAAACCGTCTGAGACAGACGACGAGAAGGAATCAGAATCCTCAAGCAATTTCACGTTCTCTACATCCCACAGAACCCAATTCTGAGTCGAAGAACTGTACGGATCATCGTGCGTGATCGAGTTCCTCCACGGTGGCGTTCCTCCGTTCGCTCTGAGATACGTCCCGCACCAGCTCCTAAACTTCACCTGAAACCCGTCTCGGATCACCTCCCACTGGTGGGTGAACTCCGAACCCGGCTCCAAATCCGCCTGAACCACTCTGTTTCCGGTCATCCCCAACAAGAACGGAATCGTCGTCGAGGTCAGGTACCGGCCGTTGCAACTCTTCAGCCTCACGAACCGGTCTTTCCCTTCCACCAATTCCACAACCCACTGTGCTTTCCTTGAAGCCCCGTTTCGGCTCTGCCGGACCTCAACCTTGTCGTCGTCAGCGACGAGGTACTTGTCCAGGTGGCTCCGAAGCTTTACGGCTTTGGATTTCTCGAGAAACTCCATCACCGATATGTCGCAGGAGCACAAAGCCAGAAAGAAACTGCAAAACTATAATTCTACGTCTAATACATATATAATATATATAGCACGGAACGTGCCTGAGGAAAGTCCTGAGAGAGAAACTATTCTATTGAGATCGGTGATTGATTTGATGGAGCTCTATATGAGGAGGAAGTTAAGGAGAAACAGAGGTGTGAACTCTAGACTTTTCAACTAGAAAAAGGTTGAACATATCTAAAAGGGTTAGATTGGGTTTCTTCCTTGTTGGTATAGTAGCGAAAATAATATTATATATATAATAAATATATCATGGTGACTACGACCTAAGAGGGTAGATGGGAAAGTAGACGACGGTACAGTGAGCGTAAGAAAAAGAAAAGAAATTTTCAACGCAGAAGAAGCCTGGAGAAGCCGGGTGTATATTTCTCTTACACTATTCGTAAATCGGAGGAAAAAATATTTTTTATTAATAAATTAAATTTATGTATAAAATTATTATCATTCGAATTTTATAATTATAAAAACAAATAAAATTTATAATTATAAAATAAATCACATAAATATATGTTTAATTTAGAAATTAAAAGAATATTAAAATAAAATTACTATAATAGTTTATTATTTATAAAATATTATGGTTTATAAACTAATGTTAAGTAATATATACTATTTTATGTTTACAGATGAGTGTTATTAGAACTTATAAAATAAAGAATAAAAAAATGCAGGGACGTAATTAACAATAATTGAAAATTGTAAGGACTTGATAAAAAGAAGAATAACTACGAGGACTTAATTCAAAATAGATGAAAATATAAGGATATGATAAAAAAAAAAAAAAATCATAGGAACCTAATTCAAATTGATTAAAACTATAAAGACTTGCAAATTAATCATTTCTATATTTAAATATACTTTTTGTCAATTTATATGGTTTGTTTTGCGCAAATAGAAAAATATTGCATTAGCTTAGCTTTTATTTGAGAATTCAGAACTGTTCATTGAAAATAGTCTTAATTCTTAAATATATTTTGAGAGAACCGTATCATGAAAACAAAGTTACTATTCGCTGAGAAGAAGGCAGTAATATTAATAATTAATAAATGAATTCATAAGTTGGAGAATACGGTTTCAAGTCACCATACATTGAAAGGAGACTTAAATGCATTTTGAGAAGGGAAAATGACAAATCGGGACATTGTAGGAGGAATAATCACATTTAAGGACATTGATTTGAAAATAACCGAATATTACTTAGAAATAATGGAATCTTAATTAGAAATTATGAAAGCTCAGTCGAAAATCATTTTTACCTATTACTCCTCCGACCCTTAATATAAAACCCATTTAACTAATTTAATTAAGTTAAAAAAGTTAGGTAAGTTAGTTAATTATAAAAAATATGACACATTTTTTCCTAAAACACCATAATCATCTTTTTTAATACCATCTTTTCCTCTTCTATTTGATTATAGTTGAGGGAGTATCCATAGGAGTAATTTAGAGAAAATTGATAAATATGAGAAATGGGTCTTATATTTAGGATCAAAACCAACTCAACAATTGGATCCTATATTAAGGACTAGAGGAGTATTATTCATTGTACAAGATCCTGAAGTTGTCTTTTTTTTCTGTTAAGAATGGGGTTACACGATTAGGACCAACCAAATAATCCGTTGGTGTTAAATGTAAAAATTAGATAAGTAATTTATAGAAATTAAAAAATTAATTTATTAAGTTATTTGTAAAAGATTTGGAGAAAAGTCCACAATTAAAAATTTTACTGATGAGAAGTATTTAAATCAAAGTAGTGGTGCTCCGTGCATAAAAAATCCACAAAGTGCTCATACTTGCTGTGTATAAAAAGCTCATCGAATTATTCTTATTAATAAAAAATTTTATGGAGATTTTAATTTTCACAAAAATTTTCAAAAAATATGTTGATTTTTCTAAAATAACTTTCTTAATTATTTGTATATATTAAAATTATTCTCATTGATGAAAATCTTCATTACTAATTGTAATTCATAGAAATAATTTATTAAAAAAATTATAAGCTTGGATAACAAAATGAACTGAGATTTTATGTTTAAGATAAAAGCAATCACATAGCTTTTACCAAAAAAAAAAAAAAAACACACACACACACACATAGCCACCTCTTTTATATATATATATATATATATATATATATATTCAGAAAAGAAGGTTGACAATAAAATACTAATCAAGAATTCTAAATGATGATAAAAATGCTGACTTCTTTTCCAAGCAGAATGCAAACAAGTGTGATTCGCGCACTAGTGCAAAATACCCCTTTTGGCTTCAGTTAAAAATATGCTTTCGCTACTATATTGGAGGTGTAGTAGAAGGCAAAGAAGCGAAAGATAGGACTTATGGTGTCTGTCATAAAGGAACAGAAGCCGTAAGTCGTGACTTACGGCGTCTGTTGCACTGAGCAACAGAAGCCGTAAGTCACGACTTACGGCTTCTGTTGCTCAGTGCAATAGACGCCGTAAGTAGTCATTTTTTGAAAAAAAATAGTAATAATAAAACACAAATCCAGTAATTGCCAACTACTCATGAACTAATACAACATTTTTGTCCATACCCAATGTCAGAAGGACTAAAAATGCCAAAGCCAACTTAAATTTCAGCAATTGCATAAATTTGTAATAACACATAAATATAAAAGCCAGATACTCTGCCTAATTTGGCTGACATTCTCTTCAAGCTGAAAGTATTGCTATAGGAATGAGAGAAACCCAAAAACAAATCCTCTGCTAGAGAACATTATTTCATATGAGATGTTACCTTTGAAAAACAAAGCTAACAAATAATTTAAAAAAATAACCTTGAAATCTGGAACTGATAAAAGAGTAAACATAGTTGGACTTGTCCAATCAAGGGATCCAATAACAAGCACTAGGACTCACATATAGAAGTGATTAAATGAGTTAGTGAGTGTGTGTGTGTGTGTGTGTGTGTGTGTTTGTTACCCTGGCTATGCAAGTAGTAGGCTGGTTGATGCTGAAACATCTGTTATAATGATGATTAAGTGTTGATTTCTAATATGAGAATATTTCCACTTCGTTGATCTAAACAACTCCTCCTTATAGCACATCTTGCTTTTATTCGAGGCTGAATGGAGAACACTCAAATGCTTGTTTTGATGGATACGAATATAAAAAATATCAAAATTACCTATATCCCCAAGAGAATAACTAGACAAAATGGTCTTAATTCAAACACAAATATTTTTGTTAATTCATTCTACTCAATGAGATATACCTCAATCAAACGACTGAAAGATAGTAAAAAAAGTGAATGGATCAGTTTATTTGAAATTCAAGTCTATTAGTTCACATCGTACCTGAATAGTGGACTTGCTGCTTGAAATAGCAAAGAAGGGAGAGGAGGAAATAGAACACAAGAATGAAAAATAAGTACTCTACTGAGATGTCATGATTGAATTTTAAAACTTCAAAAAAGGTTTGAGTTTTCGATATATGAACCTGCCCGTCTACTTAGAAGCCGTGATCTTTCAGAAACTCGATGCCGTCATTTCGATATGTTTTCACAATAAGAAGATTTGAGCTTCTCTTGTTCACTGTCACAGGCCAATAGCCAATATATTTCAATGCGATAACAAGATGAACACAACACTATATAAAAAAAAGAAGGCAAGAATAACTCGGTTACGTCAAAAAGGACTCCACTTCAAATGCTACAAATCTAATGGCATTTCTCTGTGATTAAATCGATTGATTTTGTGCACTTTATAAGCTGAAATCGTGATGGGAAGACAGAGGATATGAAATCTATTGTTTCTCTCGTAGAAAAGACATTTTAAAAACTCAAACTCGTTCAATGAACAAATGACTTAAACAGGAAAAAAATTAATAGCGTTAACAAGAATCCTAATTTCCTTGCTAATCAACAAACAAGAGCATTGAGCATAGAAAAATCTAAGAAGAGGCTTAACAAAAATAAAACCTATTTTATTGCATATGGACTTCGGCATTTTTGGCTGTCGCGATGCCTCCTCCAGGGTTCTCCGCTAGGGCTCGTTTCCCCTGCACCATAAGATCAACCTTGACAACAAAATCGAACATGGTGGAGAAAAATAGAAAAAGAAGAAGATATTTCAACCAACATGCCATCATCACACACCCGCAGAAAGGAGCCACAATAATGAGAACAAACATGAACAAAATGAAAGTGAAAAAGGGTGTAGGAGGTGAAACTCATGGCGTACTAAAGAAAATGCCTAACGAAACCCACAAGCAGAGTCGAAGAGCAAGGCAAGAGAAGAAGACCCACGCGTACTGAAGATTGCCAGTGAGAACAAAGAAGACAGATAAGACGAAAGGAAGAGGCGCGCTAAAAATAAATGGACGGAGGGAAAGGGCAGATTTTTTTAAAATATAAGAACAACTTGTGGTGTCTCGTCCAAACAAGGAACAGACACTGTACATTAAAAAAAAAATACTTATGGTGGCTGGCCAAATTTGGACCAGACGCCATAGATGAGAAGGCCTACGACGACTGTCCATTTTGCATCAGACGCAGGAGATTCGAAAAATACCAATGGCTACTGCTTTATCATGAACCAAAGGCCGTAGAATAAAAAATAAATGCCTCCTTTTTATCTGTATATAAAAATATTTACAAACAGTTAAATGTAAATTATAAAATCAATTAGAAGCAAGGTTATCATAAAAAAATAAAAACTTTTAACTTTGTAAAAAGAATAAGATAATTTAAAAACTAATTAAAACTCAAGTATTTGAATTAAAAGATTAAATTTTTTCTTTGCATAAGTTAAGAAAATAAAAGTAAAGTAATTATATGTTTGTTTTATAGAGGATAAGAGCTAATATATATAATGAAAAATAATTTAAAATCATTATAAATACTTATGAAGTCTGTTCAATGTTGAACAGAAGCCATATGTTAGCTTATAGCATCAGGTTTGTGAAGAATTGAAGCGAAAAGTTTCCAACTTATATACTACTTCTGTTCCTTGTGTAACTGACACAAAAAATAGTAGCTAAATCAGTATTTTGCACTAGTGGCGAGTCCATTTTAGGCTTTCTGACTTGTGTTTTTGTATATGTGTACGTCTTCTAAGCATGAACTTATATAATTTTATAATTGTGAGACTCATCACTGATCTGATAAATTATTATAATAAAAATAAATAAACCATGTAATGTAAGACAAGCAATATTTATCAAATCTTATAATTATTTCTAGATAATTGATTTTCTACAAAAAAAAAATTATACTACGATTGATGACTTATTTAGAGTGGAAAAAATTTAACAATATTCTAAATTAAACATATGAAGTTCATATCAGACTTTTTAAATATTGACATAAGTTAAATTTATAACTCATTAATTTTTATATACAAAATAATATGATAGAAAAAAATTAGGCAAAAGATCACCATTTTGACCTTGTAATTTTATAAAGTGTCTTTTTAATCTTTCAACCTCGATGTTGTTAACATGTAATGTTAATATTAAAATTTCAAAGGTTAAGAAAATTCTCAAATACTCAATATTAGGTTTAATTTTCAAAATAACAATGATTATTTAAAAAGAACAACATTTGAGACTAATAATATTATAGTTAGAGGATTGAAGAGATATTTTTAAAATTAAGCAACCATGCTGAAATATTGTCTAAAATTAGAAGATCAAAAGTGTATTTTAGTGAAAAGAATTATATTGATATAACCACCCCTATTGTTTTTTTTTTTTTGACAATACCTGATTCGGGGCTGAAGCCATGTTTGATGCATGGGTCTCAAATTTGAAAATTGGAAATAAGAATGGATTGGGCGTGGAAGTGAAATTAGAAGTGAGATTGAGATTTAAAATTATGTTTGTTATTGAGTAAAATTTGGAGGGAGTGATTGTATTAATTTTATTTTTAAATTAGGGTTAAAGTATTTTTTTTCTTTAAGTTTACACAAAGTTTCAATTTGATTTCTTAATTTTAAAAAAATATATTTTTTAGTTTTTTAACCATAAAATCATTAACAAAAGATGGTGTTATTAAAATCTTGAATATTAATAAAATATTTTTCAATACTGACATACAAAGTTTAATTTTCAAAACAATCCTGATTATTGCAGAAAATTATCATTTAAGACAAACAATGTTAGGATTAAAGGACTAAAAATATATTTTTAAAAGTTAAAGGACTAAACTAAAACCTTGTATACAAGTTAATAACCATATATATATTTTAACCTTAAATTAATTAAAAATTGTAAAAAGACTATGATAACCTTGTTACTAAAAAAGTCTTCGTTGTTACTTGTTAGGAGGAAAGAGAGGGCATTTCAGTCTTAAAAATCTCAATTCTAGGATAAATCTCCCATACCACCTTTCCAAATACATGTCATTCTCTAATTCTATTTATATGAGTTTAGTTAGTCCACTCATATGGGTTTATTTAGCCCCGAGTAATAAAATATGTTTTCCTAATCTCATTATAATTAAATAAAATTTAGGAATAAGGTGCGCCCAGCACCCTGAACTATTTACCCAGGTGCGTCCAGTGGCCTAAAGTAATTTTGGATGCATCCAGTGTCCTAAACTAATTAAAATGGTGCGTCCATATCCCAGGCTAACAGAAATGTTATGTTTAACTGTTACTTTCCTGATTCAGCTTAAAGTTGACCCTAGATATTCTAAATGGTACACATATAGACATTTGATATGTATTATTCTTACTCAAAATTGAATTTATTTCCTTCCTCTTCTTCTAAATAAATTGACTTTTGAGTAAGAATAATACACATCGGGTGCCCATGTGTCTACCATGTAAAATATCTAAAGTCAACTTTAAACTGAGTCAGGAAAGTAACAGTTAAACATAACATTTCTATTAGCCTGGAATATGGACGCACCATTTTAATTAGTTTAGGACACTGGATGTACCCAAAATTACTTTAGGCCACTGGACGCACCTGGGTAAATAGTTCGGGGTACTAGGCGCACCTTAACCCTAAAATTTATTTGAGAGAGAATTAATTAGGAAAAGAGAAGCAATGTGATAATAGAAAATTAATCATATTTTATTAAAACAATATAAACATGTCAAATTCATATGAATCATATCCATACTTTTTAATTTTAATTCATAAGCTCAACAAAATCTAATTTAAAGAATTTAAAAATTATGTATAAATTATTATCATTTAAACCAAGACTAAAATGTCAAAAATTTTAAATTACCGACAGCATTTATCACAGATTTTTTTTTTTTATAGAAATTTCCGATTGCATTTATCAATGGCAGCACGGCACGGCTTTGTTTGGTTCAACCGAAATACAATTTCTAACGGAAAAATTCTGTCGATAATTTTTGTCAGTAATTAAAAATATTTTTATAATGTCACAAACAATTTCTCGTATCAAATATTTTTTTAGTGGACTTTTCTAACTCTAACTCCTACCTTTCAATGCTTCATTGCAAAAAAAAAAAAAAAGCTAGATATTCTACCACAAAAGCTAAGCATGGATAACATAGAAAAAGCCAAATTAAAAAACAAAACAAAACACACACACAACTCCAATCCTAAATATAGGAGTTGCTAAGAGGTTGTTTTTTGTCACAAATATAATACTTTAATTCACTTTATATTTTATATTTATTACTTTTTAAATTAATTTATTTAATTTATAAATTAATGATATATAATCTAATGCCATGCATAGAGATATTTTCAAGAGATAAGTCATATTTGTTAGAACTAAATAATTTATTTGGTTTTATTAATCTACCCAAATAATTACGTTGTTCTTATATTAAAAATCAAAAGAGAGAGCGTATGAGATAAGGTAATATAATTTTTTCAAAAGAAAAACGTGGCCATGGAGGATTCAAAGCGTAACATCACCAAGTGAAAAAAGGCAAGATTAGACTATGAACAAAAAGACCCGTGTAAAGAAGACTATAAGAAGGCAACTTGTTTTCTTTCTGCCTAAAAAGTGAAGGCAAAATGTTAGGGTTGGAAAATGACTTTATTTATTGAATTTTTTGTTGACCACTATAAATAATCGTGTGTGTGAGGGAAAGGAGAGAGACATAATCGTTTCTTCCTGGTGTAATAGTAATTTATTTATTTTTTAGGGTTAAAGTGTAAATTTCCTCCTAATCTTATTTCTCATGTTTCTGGAAATGCAACTTTACCCATAACATTTTTTTTATGTAATTTTACTCATGATTGATTTTTTTTAATGCATGGATAAAATTGCACAAAAGAGATTTAGGTAAAATTGCACCGATAAAAAAATTGGGGTACCGGGTGCATCTGAAAAATAAAATTCCCATTTTTTATTCTCATATTTGTTTATATTTAATTTTATTTTATATGGGACTTTTTATTATTTTTATTCATATTTAACTGCAAAATAAATACCACGCAAAGAAGAGAGAAGTTGAGTGCGAAGGTAGAGAAAGTATTTAGTAAAACACTTGTGTCGTCCAAAAGTGATGAGTTGGTGTATGTTTCAACACGAAAGATAAAGAATTCCCGGCAAGAAAACATGTGCAAAACACACGTTTATTCGAAAAAAATGGATTTCCTTTATTCATGGGACAGAGGCAATAAATTTAGAAGGCGCAATTTATTTATTTATTTAAAAAATTGAAAAATTAAAATATGGGACAGAAAATTATAAGAAAAATAAAAAAATGTAATAAATGTATCAAATAAAATTGGACCAAAATTGAGTATTATAAAAATGGCAAAAAGCCCAAAAACAAAATAAAAAACATAACAAAGGAAGAAAGTGAAGAAATTGAGTGGGTATATGGAGAAGAAATATGTCGTCAAAACTTGTATTATACAAAAGTGATTAGATATGAAATTGGATTAAGGGCATTAATAAAAATTGTATTCTTGCTTTTGCATTGCCGCGATGCTTGTGGGATTCTCTTGCATATGGCTCAAGCCTTTGTAAGGATCCGCATAAAAAGAGGTTACACTGTGTTGTCACTGACATAAACACCAACGTCAATCTAAGTATCTAACAAGGTTGGCTCAAACGAAAATGTCTTGTTACTTATAATATGATAAATTAAAGTTTGAAGTTTTATTAGAAGATGTGCCTACATTTAATACTTGACAGTGTTTCAAATATGATTACTTTCAATAAAATAATATCTGTGCCTAGCAGTTTTTAAAAAAAAAAAGTTAAGGCACAAATATATCATGTAAGTTTCCACTCAAAAACACTAGGTACTTATAAGTTTTTTTTTGTTCAATATTGTCCCGAAAA